CGAGTAATTTTAGGAAAATGCAGTACATCGACAGTGACTCGGAATATCGTCTCACAAGGATTCTTGTAGGAATAATCAAATACAGTAACGAAATATGTGGTGTTTTTCATGCAGATGAAGTTGTTTATGTAGCTAAAAATCTTAACATCACGGCTGCCCCAACCTCACCATCCATTGAACAACCCCCCATATTTCGTTACTGTATTTGATTATTCCTACAAGAATCCTTGTGAGACGATATTCCGAGTCACTGTCGTTGTACTGCATTTTCCTAAAATTACTCGTTTTTGAAGCTTGTTGCTTGTCATTGTCATGCTAAGTGTATTTCTGAGATGTTTTGAACTACTGCTGCTTGGTGTTTGATTCATGTTTGTTAACATAAGAATCTAGTACCATTGAATCATGTTTGGCTAGATATTTGACATTATCATTTTTGCATTAATGACTGTCAACATTAGGCATTATAGCAGGGCTGTTTTGTAATCATGATTTGTCCATATTTGTTTGTATTGTCAACTGTGATAGGCCTATGTGTATGTTTTGATGTCTTATAAATCATATTTGCATTTTGTCATGAAACTGCCTGGCATTCATTATTAAACATTGTTGAAACACCACAAACATAACCACTTCCAGAATTTGGTGCCTCATGCTGAAATTGGTTTATTGTTGTTATTAGGTTTAATTTAGAGCTTTGTTTTGCTTTTGAACTGATAACCATGTTTCTAGACTTTGTTGATTTAAGTTTGATCCACATACACCTTTTACTTAGCCACTAATTGATGATTGCCCCTTGAAGGTTGATGGATGCCACTTGATATTTACAAGGTCTATCATGCCTTGCTTTAGAGTTTGTTAACTGTTGATCCATTTAGCTCATTGTTAGTTTGTAATGACTTTGTGTATTGTTAAAGGTTCATAAGTGAGTTTGTTTTCTTGGATTTATTTATTTTTCATAGAGGTTATTCTTCTTTTTTTTATGTCTATTTGGGTCTGCTGTCTAAAACTGAGTGAGAGGTTTGACCACCTAGAGTTCTTTTTAGAATTCCTTTTGATCCATGTAAGTCAAGTTGTTGGCAAGTTGTTTTAGTTCACTCATTTTGGTCTGTAATGTTTAGATTCATGTGGTTGTCAAAATTGTTAGTGTAGACTTTGGTACATTGGTGCTGGCAGTTTCTTGCCTTGAGGTTTGACACCATCAAGCTCAATCTGGTTGTTGCAATTTATTTGTGTTTGAGTCCTTAACATGTTGCAGTTTGGATTGATAAGTGTCTACTGTCATGAAGCTATTAACATTGTTGATTTGCAAAGATCTTCTTAAAACATCAATTTCATCAACTTGCAACTCCCATATCAATTTCTTGTTCTGAGGTCTTGTGGTTTAATTTTCTGTTGGAACTCATGCAATATCACATTTGAAACTTGCATGTATCTTTCTCCAAACCAGATTACATCAGTTTTAAGCCTTGAACTTCAAAATGCACTTCAAAGCATCATTATGCATAAGCTATCGAATTTTGTTGTATGTGTATTATTTGGGAAATTGGGTTGCATCATCCTCTTCCTTGTGAAATTTCAAGCATGTTTGACTTTTATTTTGTCAAAACTAGTTAAGAATTGGTGAAGTTGGATTGAACTCGTTTTCATGTTCTTCACTTGATCTTGCCTTGCAGCCTGGCCCAGATATGCGCCATTTTGGTATATGTCTTTATTGGGGTGACATAATACACGAATGTATCGTCACCCCAGTGGTTGTCACCTTGCCTTTAAGTACCCTATCATGCGCTTTGTCCTCTGTTCGAGCCTCAGCGAGGCCATTTTTTTTATTAATTTTGTGATTTTTCAAGTTTTTAATATTTTATCTTCTTTTTTCCATTCAATTTCACATACGCATGATGGTTGGGTTGGGATTATTCCAAGCCTATGACCCCAAGGTCTTGAGTTCAAGCCTTGGGTGAGGCATTTCCTTATTTTTAGCACTTTACTTATTTTATTTAATTCCATGCAATTTTCAGTTTTACATAACTTCTTCATTTTTAATCCTTTTTAGTTGATTCTTTTTGCTAAATTCTTATTTTATTGTATATTTTCATAAAATGATTAAAGGATTCTAAAATATCATTTTTGGAAACACTTTACATTGTGAGAGAATGGTAAATCATTTTAGGGTTTTCCCCTCATATCTCTCATTTTCAAACTTTTATTTTATTCCTCTTTGAGTTTAATTTTAAGATGACATGAACTTGTATTGTTGGCCCCCTTGTGCATTTAAGTTTGAATTTCAATTTTGTTTGTGGTTCACCTTTAAAACTGTTGTTTATCCCCATGAGGTTTTGAACCTTTTGTTTACATTGTTGTGACATTGTGTTTACATATGATACGCTTTATCTTAACCTTAGGATTTGAGTCGCCGTACTCACTTTTAGCGTCCCGCCGTGGAAATTCTTACACCTTCCTAAACTTAGGATTGGAGTCGCCGTGCTCTATTTAGCGTTCCTCCGTGGACATTCTCTCCCCTTTATCTTAACCTTAGGATTGGAGTCGTCGTGCTCTATTTAGCGTCCCGTCGTGGACATCTTTTCCCCGTTATCCTAACCTTAGGATTTGAGTCGCCGTACTCATGTTTAGCGTCCCGCCGTGGACATTCTCTACCATAACAATCTCAACGTAGATTTAGGACTCGCCGCACTCCATGTAAGTATTTCCCTATGAATGCTTACATCCCCTTGGAACCTTGACTATAGTCAAGGGTTCCTCACCCCTTAGTTAGGGGAACTATGAACACTCTGATTTCTCGTTGAGAATACGTAGGCACAAGATGCGACGTCTTGGTGAGCCAACTTCACATTTTTCCAACCTTTTCTTTCTCCCTCACTAACAACTAACTTCCTGTTAACATTTACAACTTAGAATTGGAGTCGCCGTGCTCTATTTAGTCGCCCCGCCGTGGATATTCCCCGTGTTTATCTTTGCAACTTAGGCTTGGAGTCGCCGTGCTCTATTTAGTTGTCCCGCCGTGTACACATTCCTTTCCTTGCTAACTTAACTTTAGTTTAGAGTCGCCACACTCTATGTAAGTGTCTCGCCGTAGACATTTACTTTCCCTTTGGAACCTTAACCATAGTCAAGGGTTCCTCACCCCTTAGTTAGGGGAACTACGGTTGCTCTGATTTCATTCCCGTCAGGATACATAGGCACGAGATGCGATGTCTTCGCGAGTAAACTTTGTACATACTTTATATCTTTACCCTTAGCACATTTCCTTTAGCAAGCAAACTTTAGCAAACATAAATATTAACAAGAGGTTCCTGTATAGTACTATAGATGTTTAGGATGTGAAAGACCTACCCTAGGCATAACCAACTCTCGAACCTTTAGATCTCTCTTTGCTTAGCTTTAAGCCTTGCTTTTTTGCTTTGCATTTTTATAGGTTTTTCTTTCTTTAAACCTTTCCTTTTTGGATAAATTAAATTCCGGTTGTGAATTTAAGAATTAAAGATTCAAGTTAATTAATAGATTGGTATCACGATTCTCACCGCAACAATAGTCCCACCGTAGCTTCAAGGCTTTGGAGGTTTCTCTAACAACCTAAAAATTCTATTGGCGAGAATGCAGACAAACAAGGGATTTTGTTTTTGCCCTAGGGGCGAAGTATCTTCTTTATACCCCTCCCGCCTACGAGGACAACATATCTTTAGGGGAGTGCGGGAACTGCTCCATCCTTCATAGACATGGGAACGAGTGTGGTGTCTTTGGTAGTGGTGACGACTTAAGAACCTTGAAGCTTATCTTTATGACGTCACCGCTCTTATGAAGGTTAGCTCAAGATTGACAGCTTGATTTCATTGAGAGGTTGCTTCATGCATATCGATGTTCTTCGAATTAACATAACATAGAATCTTCGATTCTAAATAGTCTTTCAACTCATAATTGTGAATTATGTTGTTGCACCTAGTTACAAACACTCTTTAGCATATTAGTGGCTCAATGCACTATGAGGATATCTTGTAACTGAAATTCGAGAAGTGTTTCTTATTCAATAATTGTCGATAGTGGTGAAGGTATGTGTGAAGGATCGCGTTGGGAAGATTGTTGCGTGGACCCGAGGATCATAAGAGTTTGGAATGCTCACGTGTCTGCTATAGGTTAAACTACATCTTGTTGTGAAGGATTACACATGGATGCTACCAAGACTTAAACTTCCAACATTTGAGGAAGATGAAGTATGTCTTTAGTAGCTTCAGCTGCAACGACAATAGCTTGTCGTTGAAGGATAGAGCGATGGCTTTGGACGCCATCATAGTTGACGAATCTGAGAAAAGATCTGACGAAAAGGAAGTTGAGATTCGCGAAAAGTAATAAAAATGGAGATCTATACTTCTAACATAGAATATTAGAATGTCTAATGGAAAAGATCTCAACTTCTAACGAATAAAATCTAAATTGCTAATAAAGGAGATTTAAACATGAAAATGCGCAGGAATCTGATTTAAATTCCCATAGGCATCGTCATTATTCAATGGTAAAACCAATATTGACCGGTAGATGAAAAAGTAGATTTTACTACAATGAACCTAAATAAACCTAAACTTCCGATGTAGTGGATTAGGAGCTAATCCGCTAAATTAGTATAAGAAAATGAAAGGGAGAATGAATTTAAATGCATGAAAAATGACATCTCATAATCTCATTCCACTTAAATGGGACAAACAATTCCTAACATAATAAAACATGAAGTGAGACATAAATTACAAATGATCTATCTAATTGATTTGGAGGATCAATAAAGCTCTAGTGAATAAAAATATCTATTATAAAGTGGAAATTTATAAATAAATAAAAAGCATTAAAATAATAAATAAATAAATAAATAAAGTTTTCAAGAAGTTACAAAAAAATAGGAGCAAACCGACATTTGGGGCAAGCAAGCAAGCGTGAGAGAGTAGTTAAGATAGTTGAGATAATCTTTGTCCCTCGAATTGCATTACCAATATAAAAAAATGGGTTTGTATAAACGTACTTTTGGTTTGGGTTTAGGTTTGAAACCTCGCTTCACCAACAGCATCAGGCACGTTTCTCAGGCAGTAGATTCCACCGTTAAGCGCGCATTCCTCGTCGATACACTTGCACTGGTAATCCTAATTTCGTTGTTCTTCCTTTTACTTCATTTTACTTTGTTTTGATGGTGGAATAACCCTAGGTACGCAATTTGGAATCCAACGGCCTTCCTTCCAAACAAGCAGAAGCCATTACTTTTGCAATCACTGAAGTTCTTAATGATAGCTTGGAAAATGTTGCTCAATCTTTTGTTACAAAATCAGATATGCTAAAGGTCATTTTAGCTTTTTTTTTCTTATGAATTAACTTGTTTTTGATGTGTTGTTTTAAGTGATTATGTTTTCTTTTCAAATTTTCTAGTCAGAAATGACCCAAGAAACAAATCTCTCAAAGTTCAAATCCGAAGTGCAAAGTTCTCAGGTACCTTTTTTTTTTCTTTTCCATTTCTCTGTATTAGCTAGAAACCATCAGCTGAAAAGTGAATTCTTTATATAGTTTGCTGGTAAGAACTGAGAATACAAAGACCAAAATTTTAATTTATTGTTCCTGACTAGGTTGTCAATAGCGCGCTATAGCACCACCATAGCAGCATATTGTAGCGGTATGGCCCCTCACCGCTACACTATTGGTCTCCAAGCGCTATTGACGATAAGGGTAATAGTGGCCGCTAAAAAGTGTTATCGTAGACTAGAGACACTATGGCGGCACAATAGCAATGCCATCGTGGTTTGATGGCCGTTATTCTCAATTTGGAGCAAAATTGTAAACCCTAATATTTTGAAACATAATTTTTTTAAGGGTATGTTGGCCTTTCCCACCCTGTTATTGGTCTAATATTTAACCCCACGTGTTATGTTTCATTAGTTTCGCCGTTTTTTCTTTCTTTTTCTACATTGTTCTTCTCCCCTACGACGTCTTCCACTGCATCTTATGCATTCTTCCTCTTTTTCATCTATTTCTTCAGCATTTTCCTCTGCTTCTTCATTGTTTGCCTCTGCTACTGATACAAAATCTCTGAGATTAATATCATTGAGGAGGATGATAATGTTGTGCAGGAATACTTTTATAAATTGGTTTTGATGGGAACTCATTTTGATGGGATATGTGATGTTGCAAATTCTATTTTGAAGTATTTATGCATGTCGTTGGAATTTATGTTTACTATATATATTGTTTTTTAGTCCTCACAATAGCGGTCATCCTACTCTCTGCTATTCCGCTATAGCATTTTAGGGGTTCGGTGCTACGTGCTGCTATCCGAGATTAACAACTTAGGTTCCTGAACATTCCACAAATTTTGTAATCAGATTATCATAGAGATGTTATATTGTAAGAGTTTGTTTTTAATGTTTCTATCAAAGAGGAATAGTGCTAGCAACACACTCAATGACACACATTTTTTCACACTCTCTTTTATTGGTTAAAATTCATACGAATCCTACCAAATTTATATGAAACCAACATGATTTGGTGAGACCCATATGAAATTTAACCAATAAAAGAGTGTGTGTTAAGATAGTATGTTTTTAAGGCTCTTCATTAAAGAGATGGTTTAGCATTGATAATGGGAGTGGAACACAGGTCACCTGTTGTATAAACTACTAAAAATCTCAAAGTGTTGGAAGATTAATCAAGCATTCTCTTGAGGTTATTTATACTTCCATTTAGGGTGTTGAAAAGGAAATGCTGAGAATCCTAGACTAGAAAGCCTTAATGCACAAACTGTATATCGAAAAGCACATAGAAAACTGCAAAAGGCAAAGTGCGGTTGCGCTGAACGAACATCTCTCACTTTCATTGGTTGTTAAATGTAAATATGTTAATTGACTAAATTTTGTAGTAATTAATAGGCTCTTGCAGCACTTATTTCATCACCATGTCAAGAATCATTGATCTGATAAACTCCTGTCAACTTTTTTTTGTTCTGCCCTGTAGCCACTTCTCATTAAAATCACTTCCATCCTTGCTATTTTTAATTGTTTCTACAAAGTGAGGCTCTATAAGAAGTTATATGTTTATCACTATCATAAAGAGAAACCAGATCTAGTTTTGATTTTAAATTTAAGACTGTGCAGTTTAACACGACGTTGACACAGTGTTGTCCATCGCGGATGGTGGTCCATGGCGGAGAGCCAATATCCCTCCATACTTGCCACTTTGCTGCGCCGTTATAGCTGATCATGGCGGAAAAACCCGCAATATCGGCTGATATTTACCATTGCCGCGATCCCCAAAACCGCCATGTATATCCGTCATAGCAGCCATGGCACCACCATTTGATAACACTGTGTTGACAACAAGATTCTCTTTCATTTAATTATTGGCAAGGGGTTCTGGAGTCTAGCATACATGTAGGTGATTGGATTCAATCAACATCACTCTGACTTGCTGACCGAGTTGCATGAATCTAATTATGTAGAAATGTGCACCAACCCTATTACATGCATTATGTATAGACATCATTGTTACTTTATTCCTAAACAAGGCATTCAATGCAGATGCGTTTTACAATAAGAGGAAAAACTTAGATGCTAATGCTATTAGTCTATGTGTGTTACCACAGTCGTCTAGGCATATGCTATCCAAAAAACGAAAGAAAAGAAGTGATGTATAGGCATACTATGAACTTTTCATGTAGCTATATGTTCGACTTTTGAGAAGACAAGGAGGAACATTGTAATTGCTGAATTTCATTATTCCATCAAATGTTTAAATAGACCTTTTGATGATTGGTAATGCAGGAGCATCATTTTTCTTTGTTGCAACGCGAGACTGAAAAACTTCGTAACGACATAGATAAGATGAGAAGTGAATTGAGGTCTGCGCCTTGGAGTTTTATACACAAATATTTTCCACTTGAATTAGATTTAGTTTTCATACCCTTAGATTTTATTATAATGTACTTCTAATTATTTATTAATTGTCTTGTGACAGGTATGAGATTGACAAAGTAACTGCCGGACAACGATTGGACTTGAATCTTGAAAGAGGGTAAGTGAAAAACTGAAAATGCGGTTCTATTTTTGTGGCCCTCCTGACGTAGTAATCTTTATTTGGTTTAACCTTAAACCTTAAGTTTTCATCTTATTTATTTATTTTCAAATCTAATCCCAGACGCATTCGAGATGAGCTTGCTAATCAAAATGCTGAAACAACCAATTTGACAAACAAACTTGATCGAGTATGTTTATGATTTTGATTTATTAGTTGTTAATGGAATGAAGAATGTACAATTTGGATTGAAGTATATTCTATATTTTTTTTCCAGGAAATCCATGCATTGAGAGCCCAATTAGAAGCTGCAAAATATGATGTGATCAAATACTGCATAGGTACCCTTGTCTCTATATCTGCAGTGGGTCTGGCTGTCATCCGGGTCATATTGTAGTCTTTCATGAAATCAAAGGCGAATTGTACTTCGGTCTCTATTTTCATTTTTTCATTGGCATTTCGGAAATCAAAAGAGTACCATTGGTTTCCATTGCTACAAGACCTGCATTTCCATTTGTATCATTATTGGGTAAGTTTCACAGAATTATCCTCAACTTCATGTGTAGTATCCCCTGCACTCGATAAAGTGATAGAATTCAATTGATTAATTTAGTAGTTGCGATTGAATTGTACCAATCAGAAAGTAGATAGAATTATTATTTGTGGATTGGAAGATTAATGGAAGAAATTGAAATATCATTGGTATCAATAGAATGTTAGGATGAATTACTCTTAAATCTTGATGCCGAAAGCATTTTTTTTTGCTTACATAGTTTATTTAAAATAGGCCGGCGTTCGAGCTATTTGCAACCCCCAGATACCAGGCAGCTTGGGACTTAAAGGGTTGTGTTGTGTACTCTGAGTTTTGGCCTCTACTTTACTTCCTTCGCTTGCTATTAAAAAACTCTCCATGTTTCTTGGACTTGTGTGCGTGACTAACAGAATGAAACAATCATTGTGGTATCTTTCACTTGAATTTTGACAAAGTTCAAAGCATTTTTAATTTCTTGCAATGGGCAAGAAAAATGAAACAATTGCAAAGCGGGTTAACTAGGAAAAGGACGTTTGTTCCCCTCTAGAAGAAAAGATTGAGATAAGTGCTTTAAATGTTTTTTTCTTTGTCCATCCTTCTACAAAAGTGAACTTTTTTTTTAATCTCAAAAGAAGTGGCTTCTTTCCCTTCCTTTAAACATTTGTCTTCTTCTCATTCTCTTTCCGTCTTTTACTTTTGCATGTCTTATGCGTGAGATGGAATATAAAGTAATAACATTCATATCTCTTCTTTTAACAAATGTGTGTTTGGTGTTTAATGTTATGAAAGATGATTTGGTGTCAACAAAGAGGGTTTTGATGTCCGGCAATGACACAAAATTTCAAGACTTTATAAAATTAATGTGGTAATTATATTTCATCTTAACAAAAATAAACTAGATAATTAGAAAAAAATTTAAGGTAATGGAATGTTTTTCCCTACAAGGTGAATTTGTGGTGAGTGTATGAATGTAAGTTAGTTTTGTCAAATTTATTGACTCTAAATAGTATTATCATAGACAAAGTTTATTGTTTGGTGGGGTTTAATCCATTTCTACATTGATTAATTGCAAAAGTTAATCTCTCAAAATAAGTAGTACTAAGAGTGATAAAATTCCTCCCCAAAAATATATTATTTATGTATTTTTTAAAGAGTAAAGATTGAAATGTAAACAGATGGAAATAAAGAGAAAAAAAAAGATTAAATTGATAAAGTGAGTTTTCTTGGTGAGATAAAAGTGTATTTTGTAAGGACAAAACACATTGGGCTTATATATTTTATTTTTTAAAAAAAAGAATAAACTTTCATCAATATTGCTAAGACGACTTTTTATTTAAATGATAAATATTATTAATTACTTAAAACCAAAACCTCTTTTATTTATCACTCTACTATTTAATTTTCTAATTACAACCACACAATCAACCTTATATTCCTAATTACAATACTAACTTTTATATATTTCCTTATCTTGTTATATTTGTTTCTTAGCTCTTAACTTTTTTTACTTTGTTGTTAGTTAAGAAAAAGCATTATTATATTATCATCACATGGAGTGATCCCTCAAAGTGGTGGGCAAGTCATGTCCAAATAGCATGGACCTTAACCATATGCTTTTTTTTTAATTGAGATTATTTCAACTTTCACTACTCCATAAGTCATTCTCATCCACTCAAACGCACGTTGTTCATTGAATGGCTGCTACTACCTATATATCGTCATTAATTCTTGATTATTTTGTCCTATAATTACAAATAATTTCATGCCCCACAACCAACAACTATTCACCCACATGCACTCACGACTTAGATTGTAATACAAGGACTTTTCCTATTGTTGCACTAAAAAACAATAATCACACTTCACTAATACAAAATGTTTAACTAATTTAGGATTAAGACGAGGAGCCCATGTTTTCAAGACCTTAATTGACTCATTATATGTCAACGCCTTAAGGTACAGCTGTGTTTGGTTTAGTTTATTTAAATAGGAAATTATTGGGATTTTGAATCTATTTTATTTTAAATTAATAAAATAGGAGATAAATATCTATGTGTTTTATTTAAAAATTATTGATCTTGGGCAATCACTATGGAGCAAGTGTAATTTTTTCAGAATCTTCTCGGTATAAGAAATATCTTAGTGGCGAACATAGGAGATCCAAGTCTCATATGCACCCAATGACTCTCTGTTATTCACTCATAATTAATAGTAAATTAGTTATTTCCGCTCTATTATATATAAAAGACATTAATTTAGGTACTCAATTCTAATTCATTCTTCTGTCTCACATATTGACTTGAGTTTTGGAGTGTTAACCTTTCATGTTATCCCACTCTCCACTACGTAGAAAGCTCATATTCGCTATTACTTCTAATCCTTCTAATTCTAGTACGGAACTGTGACGTCGTCTAGGGGTATATGTGAGCCAGTTTGGATTGGGTTTGACCAAATCAAATACCCAACCTATATAGGACACTCCAATTTGGACGAGGTAACATAACTACTTGTTAAACTAATGGGTTGATTTGGGCAAACTCACTAACTTCCTGGTTGGGTTGGGCTGGGTAATTAGTTGCCCAAATAATTTTTCTATTTTATTAATATTAAATGACTAAATGATGAGTCATCATTTTTTTAATACAAATCACTCAACATTTTTATCATCCTAAAAAAGTTAAAAAAACCTAGATTTACTATTTTTTTAGCATAATAAAATAATAAATGATAACATTAACTAATAAAAATTATCATAAAATAACAACAAAAAATTAAAGTTGCATGATATACAATCGTATTATTATCAAAATAACTAAAGAGTGAAACATCTAAAATTAGTTAAAGTCATTATTTACTAAAATAGTAAATGTTCAAGAGCTTAAAATTGTAACAACTAAATTAATATTCATCAAAATCATTAAAATTGTAATAATAAATATTTTGTTAATGGGTCAGTGTGTTTTTTTGGATCCGTGTCCGATTTTACCCAAAACCCAATTTTTTAATGAGGTTTTTAGTTTTTAAATCCATATTCACCCAATTACCCATCCCATCCCATTTTTTTGGATTTCTTTTTGGATGAGTTTGACCGGATCTTGTGGGTTTACTCAACCCGTGTACACCCCTAGCATCGTTTGTGGGAATCGACTTGTGATTTATATGTTTTTCTACAATTTCAAGTTCCTTATTCGATTTGCCAATTTGTAACCTTTCAGGTCACTGACTCAAGAGCATTCAGGTCATCGTGTTTGATCCAATCAAGCATCCTTTTAAATTTGATTCTTCAAATTTTCATATCTCTAATTCCCATGCTTCCAAGTGATGGCTGGATCCGAAGCTACTCGTTTTGTTGTTGCTTGAGAAGTTGTCGTTGATGATGTAACTCAAACAGCAATTAACCAACCACCTCTACTTCCACCCCCTCAACAAAACATTGTGAATCCAGAAATGGAGGTTTCACTACATCCCAATATAGTCCAAAATCCTCAAGTAGCTAGACTTGTCTAATTAACTTCGATTGGACCTCAAATTCCACCTCCGATTGTGCAACCTAAAGTCTTACCTAGTTTTCAATTGTTGTGAGTAAACCTTGGATTGCAAGGCGTTAATGAGTTGTTTAACAACATGAACAACATCGTTCGACAGCAGAACTTGCAAGCGATAGAAAAATGGTTGATGCAGCTCAAAGCAAGCCTCCACAATGCTCCTACACAAGGGAACGCTATTTAAGAAGTTGTATCAAGGAGGACTCACACCACTGTCAGTGAGTCGACCATTACAAAGAAAGATGAAGCTCATAAATTAAGAAATCAACATAGGAGCAAGAAATATAAAAGTCATCCTTGAATCCCATGGGGAGATCGAGGCATCCACGCTCCTCCCTTGAGTCAAGCAAAAAACCATTCGTTGAGGTCCAGCAGAAGCATCCAAAGTGAACCATGAATATGGAAAGCAAAATATCAAAATCTTTGGAGAAGATGCAGAAGTTAGGTGAGAACGATGGAAAAGGAGATTTGGACGAGCACGTGAAACTCGTCAATAATCGATTGAACTACTTCAGTGCTAACGAGGCTTCCAAATGCAAGTTGTTTTCCTTAATCCTGGTAGGGCCGACCAAGCTATGGTTCAATGGTCTTCCGGACGGGAGCATTGAATCATGGACTAATTTTTGTGAATGGTTATCCACACACTTTATCGCCCGCAAGAGACAACTAGTGATTGTAGTCGTCTTGAGCGCGATTAATAAAGGGAAGATGGAAAGCATGCAATCTTATATTGACAGTTTATGCAAGTTGTTGTTGAAGTCGAGGATGCGACAGAAGGTCTTAAGTGATGAATCTTCAAAAATGATCGTCTACGCAACAATCCCTTAAGGTTGAAGATAGGAAGGAAAAAGGTACAAACTACCCAAGAGATGTTGAGCAAGGCTCAGTTTTACATGATCTTGGAAGAGAAGTTGAACATACGCTTTAATAACCCCATTTTCGCTAACACCAACTTCATCCGCTTAATAGGAAAGGAGTCTCATTGGATGAAGGACGACTTTGACCAAAGCATGCAAGGCTGGCACGAGAAATACATACCATTGAATGTTTCTCGAGAGAAGATCTTCCAAAATTGTGCCAACCCAAAAATTAGAAAATAAGGAATTTGACCCCCTTACCCTGTTAGATTGACATCTCAGACTGACAAGTTAAAGTACTATCGTTATAATAATGGTCACAACTACAACACTAACTATTGTATCTAGTTGAAGAATACCATCGAAGAACTGATCAAGAGAGACCGGTTGACCGTGTACGTGAAAGAGGGAAATGAGAAAGGGAGGAATCACACAAAGGCAAGTATCCCTAATAGACTGCTGA